AGAACCACTTCATGCTTCTTGAAAGGCAGATTCCAGGTTTCTCAAGCTTTCTTTTGGCCACCATAGCCTCCCTGTCAGCAATGTTTGTATTCATAAACATGGAAAATAAAGAATAGTTTGTTTCTTAGAAGGATGTCACAACTATTAGCTCGAACATGACCAGGGAAAGACCCATGGCTTTCTTTACAAAACCTTTCTACTACCGCCTTAGATGACTAAGGGCTTAGAGTGCAGCCCTACCCTGAGCTACAACCCCACAGCTTCCTTCGGGACTTTTGACATCAAACTGCATTCTGTGGTGTTCTTGTGATGTTTATGGTCTGCACTCAAGTAGTATTGCCAAAACAAAAGAATGCTGTCATACATACATAAAGCAAGGCCATAAGCTAAAGATTTCAAATATTCGGAAAGAATGAGAAAAAATAACAATTATAAGCAAACTGAGCTATTAGTAGTGCAGTGAAGCTTCAGTAATTTACCCCAGTAAGGAAGACCATCATTCTTACTCAGTAAAAAGTCTGATTTATGAAAAGAGAGACAAATTAACCTGATGTAACTAATGTCAAGAAATTTCTATATATTCAATGACTCCCTTCAACAGGTTAATAAGCGCTGTTTATAATTAACACATTAATTTTCTGATTGAAGCTCTGGGTTGAATATTATGTGAGATAAAAATTACTTACACCTTTAAGTCTCTGCTACCTGCTACTGAACACATTCCTACTGACGTGCCACATTCCTGCTGGTGTGGCTACATGAAAAGAATACTATGAAAATAAGTTGGCGAGAGAGCCAGAATCTCTGGATTGTTTCTGCTGAAAAGGTTATGAGGTTAATACAGAGCCTAGAGCAAAATGTTGTCATCAAAAATAATTTAAAATGACGTCCTTTGTGCATGGAAAAGTAGGAAGACTTTAAAAAGGGAGCCAGAAGTAAGTTCTTATAATTCCAATAAGATATCAGCTCTCCCACTTACAACTGGTGACCTTCAGCAACTTATATAACTCCTCCAGGCCTCAGTTTCCTCATTTTAAAAATGGGGATAATAATATTTAAAGAGAAGGATTTAAAAAAAATGTCTTCACAGACTTTAAAGTGCTAACCAAATATTAGCTAGCATTACTTGGAGAGGCCTACATTTCCCAAATACGTACGCATCTTAGATAAGTGTGCTCTGGCCTATGGGTCAGGGTGTTCGGTTCTAGAGTCAGCTTGCTTGAGTGCAGATTCTAGCTCCGATACTTAACAGCTGTGTGCACAATTTACATAACCTCCCCATGCCTACCTCTTCATCTATAAAACCAGCATAGTAATAGTAACAACTACATTGGGTTGATGTAAGGAATGTGATAGCCAACCCCACTCCATTTTGAGCCTCGATGCCAGTTTGTACCCATGCTTGGACAAAGTGCTTGTGCTGGGACAAGGCACCCAAAACCCACATCCTGCTTGGCAGAAAACTTGCTGCAGTTGCAGGATGTTTTGTAGCTGGCCTAGTGTGTGTGAAACTTCCTTGTGCCCCCCACTAACCTGGCATGGTTCTGCCTCTGTAAGATTCTGCTTGCTCTCCCCTGAGTCCTCCCCAACTGAAAGCATGATTTAAAAGGAGAAATCAAACTGCTTCCCATTGCTGAGAGAACTTTCTAGGCACTAGCCCACCTCGGCCACCGGCTATAATAAATGGGCTCAAATCTGACACAGAGTGTGGCACATCTCTATTGTTCTCACTCGCTGGCCCATAACAGGAACAAATGAGTTAACATACACTGTGGCAGGGCCAGGGATTTAGCTCAGTGATTCCACTGCCTGTCTCACAAGCGCCAGGTCCCAAGTTCGACCCCTGGTACCAAAAAAACAAAAACATACACTGTGGCAGATACTGACAGCAGCCTAACCAATATCCAACCTTCTTTGCTTACCAATAAAACCCAAATTTTGTTCTAGGAGGTAATGTGTTCAGCCCACGAGAAATGAAAACATTATTTACCACACACTAATAAACTAAAAAAATAAAAAGTTAAAAAAAAACAAACTTCATTCGCTAGACTTTCTTGCAGTGAAGGGTGGTCATCTGACACAGTGCCGAAATCTACTGACTGATGCTTCCAGGAAAGCATCAATCTTTTTCCTGATAAAAAGGAAAAATCTCAGTAGGAGCCTTTTCCTCTTTGCCCTTCCCCCATTCTGCCTAGAACCAGGACACAATGCCAGGAGGAGGAGCAGCCATCATTTTGTGAGCATTAGGAAGAAAGCCTTATGCTGAGAATAATAATACAGGAAGATGGAAGGGCAAGCCTGAGACATGGATGACACGTGAAGCTGCTTATTTCCTGGCTTCATACCATATAGGATTAAAAAATTTAAAAAAAAGAACCCTTCTGCCTTAAGCACCTGCTTTTTCATTATTATACACAGCCAAACACATGCTCTAACGAGTATACTTAAGAAGTGGTTTGAACGGTGCCTGGCTCATAGTGTTAGCTGGGTACTGGGGGGCTGTGCTCTTCCCAGGGGTCCTTTCCAGGCTCTTGCTGTCCTGAATAAAAAACTGGACAGGAAATGAAGTCGTGAGGTTTTACATGTATTAAAGGTACTTTATTAAAGGGATTAAAGGTAGGGAAAGAAACATGCTCTGCACAGTGCAGAGCTGGCCAGTATAAAGGCTTCAGTGGCCGTGAGCATAATGGCTGCCATCCCTTACATCCCTGGTTCCGGCAGCAGCTCTAGGCCATCCTATCAAAAGCCCGCTCGATCTTGTACCAGAAGAATTGAAGATAGCACTCCCTGATGGGTACCAGGTATAGGGTTTGGGCACAGGTGTCCCGGATCTCTGTTACTGACAGGTCACCGTCACTTGCCTGGATGGCTGGCCACCCCCTAATCTCCCGTCTCAATGGTATTCAGTAAGTGTTAACAGTTGTTAGGGCAGCATTCTGTTTGCGGACCAGGTGGCTAGCAGATATTCTCTTAACCTCCCTCTAATAGAACTTTAACTTTCCTGTTCAAAATCAACCCTCTCCTGATTCTCAGGCATGTGTTTTGCATGATAATGGTATCATCCCTCACTTTTAAGGGTGAGCCCTGCTTGACCTAAACTAAATCACATAACCCACCTCCCAAACAACGTGATTATTCAGGAATGGACACATAACTCAGGCCTAGGATAGTTAGCACTTTCTTTTCTCCTTGGCCAAGAGCCTTCAGGGTGAAGGCAAGCAATATGTGTGAACCTCAGGGCTCACGGAAAGGGCACTGGGCTAAGATTCACCTTCCTCAAGTGTGGTGTTCTGAGCAAGGTTGTCAGCATGAGGAGAGCTCGTCTAGAGGGTGAACTTGACACAGGGAGAAGGGAAGACCAAGAGAAGGTCAGAAAAATGGAGCTGGGTTTTGTTCAAATTTTTCTTTGGGAATTTTCAAACTAACTCAGTTTGGGTGGGGTCTTCTGTCACTTGCAACCACAAGATTCCTTCTGCTACTATTTGATGAAAAAATATATGCACAATTTTAACATATAGCTTGTACACCTAGAGGGGAACTTTTCAAACTCCAGTGCATCTATTTAATGAAATCTATAGGCAAGCACAATATAAATTCACATCCAAATCACCTTTCCAAAAGAAAAAAACAGTAATAAAAATCACAACCAAAAAATTTGCAATTATGTAAATTCATTCAGATTTCTCTTCCAAAAGAAAAAGCCAGTTGAAAGTATTTTTTGTTTGTTGTAAACATGTCTGGGAGAATTTCATTAAGAATAGATGTATATCTGGGTTTTAGGATGAACATTGGGCCCTGAGGAAGATGCTAAAAACCTATGACTAATATTGAAATAATATTCACACAGTTGTCATGGCAGCCTGCTCATTCTGCACAAAATAGAACCCACTGCATTTTAACAGGATTTAGCTAAGGAACTGCTACTCTGCAGCCAGTCTCTGAATTAAAGAACCTACTAATTGGTTTTGGTTTTATTATTGTATATAGCTTTCAGACTATAATTGTATCAAAAAGATCCCACATACTTAAAATCACTAACAGAAGTACACAGGTGATTTTGGTTTAATACCTGCACCACTCTTGAAATCTGCCCATCAGACTATGGAGAATAGCTTAGAGGTGGGTCTGGTTGTGTGCACAGCTAAATCCATACAGAAATCTGAGTAAGACAGCGAGTGTTGTGGAAGTGGAGGGCATAGCTCATTTCAGTGGCCACTATCACATGCTGCCTTTTCAGTGGGGTGCTACTGAAGTGGGGAGTAGCCAACTGTTCTGTACTTAGTCACATAGTTCCCAGGAAAATGACTTTAGAAATTAGGGGTACTTCAAGACAGGTTAGTAAGCGGGGGTAACAATGTATTTTGAGCTGATCTGTTTCTCCCTAGAGTGGCTGTCTCTATAAAATCTAATCTTGCTGAATGTGATTGTGGGTGATTTTGAAGATTACAGGTAGCTGGTCTTGAGAGAAATACCACACAGAGGCCTTCTTCACTATTAGACAGGCTTTTGCATATCAATCACCCTACCCCCACTCCCATCTGCCTTCTCTTTTGAGTTTCTTTAAGAGAGAGGAAACAGGGCCCTGATTAAAATCCAATATCATCCTACATTAGGAAAACAACATCAACCCATTTTCTTCCATTAGCATCCTAGAACAAATCGGTCCTTTGTACTAACTAACGTTACTCAAGCTTCTTGAAATGGAGGCAGGTCATGTCCTTAAAAATAAAAAACCTCTCACACTGGCCGACACTGTGGTTCTTAGACATACTGCAAGCATGCACTGGGACACACAGCAATCCTTCAGGAGTTGAGGGCAGATTAAAGACATTATCAAAATGATATAGGAAACACCTAGAGGTGAGAAGTGTGGAAATTTCAATCAGTAGTGTTTGTATTTTCTCTCATGTAACTGAAACTCTCACTAACCAGTGGCATTAAAAAGTAGGGATTTTATTTTTCACATATAACAAGTACTTGAAAGTACTAAATTCAGGTACCTTCCTTCTTCCAGACAAACCACATGGTTTTCTTCTTCATAGCTGTCGACTTAGATTCACAAGTTGGCTGATCTACCTCCAGTACCACACGCACATTCCAGGCAGAAAGTGAAGGCCTATGGTCAAGATGGGAACATTCCAATTAAGTCTATTTCCTTTCAAAGAACTAGTTTTGGAAGCCTACCTATTCACATACCTCTTATTTGCCAGAACTGTGTCATACAACCTCTCCTATCTGTAAGGGACTGGGAGATCAAGCTGAATACACTGCAAAATCAAACAAAACCAGGCAGTGTAGTGCAGAGGACAAACACAGCCTATGAAGCCAAGTGCCCTGGATTTAAAACTCAGCTCCATCGTTTACTAGCTGTGTGACTTACGTTATCTAATCATTCTATGCCTCAATTTTCTTACCTGTAAAATAAGCATAATAACAGTAACTTTCCTCTTAAAATTTGTTATGGTTTATATCTAAAATGTTCCCCAAAGCCTCATGTACTTATAGGTGGGGCTTTTGACAGGTGAAGCCTGGTTGGAGGAGGTGGGTTACTGGGGCATGGCCTAGAAAGATCTGTCTCTCTGCCCCCTCCTTTGATCTATCTCTCAGCTTCCTGCTGCACCATGCCATGAGCTCTTTCTCTTTCTCTGCCAGGCCCCTCTGCCATGCCACCTGTCCTTGGAGCTAGCTGACTATGGACTGAAACCTCTATGAACTGTGAGCTGAGCCAAAATAAACCTTTCCTCCTCAGAGTTGTGGGTGTCAGGTATTGTGTCCCAGCGATGAGAAAGTAAGAGAGGGTTCTTATGGAATTAAATGAGTTACTATGAGTAAAGAGCTCAGAATACATAGCAAGCACTACACAAGTGTTTGTTTTCCTTATTTTCTTTATGGAGGAAAATAATGGATATTGGAAACACAACTAGCAATAACTGCCACAGATATGCTGCCCATCCTAATAATTGCAACTATCCTGGTTACTGTGTCACATGTAAGCAAATTCTCTGCTATATTTGAGACCTGCTGGTAACTCAAAGCCTTATCCTACCAGAAGTGGCCATTCCCATGACCATCAGCTTCATCCCCATTTGCTGGGAACTGAGAACAAAAATTTTCACATGCATAAGCAGGGCACTGCTATCAGCCACTGTGCTGATGCTCATCCATTTTACACACAGATGGTTACAAGTCTTTCTGTTCCAAGTGTCAGTAAAGCCATTCCAGCTGGCCTAAGTAGAACTGGGAATGTAGTCTTCAAATAACTGAAAGGTCAGCCAGATGTGGTGATGTATGCCTATAATCCCACCTTCTTGGGAGAATGAGGCAGGGGGATTGCAAGTTCAAGACCAGCCTGGGCAACTTAGTGAGAGCCTGTCTCAAAATAAAATTTTTTTAAAATCTCACTGGTAGAGACCTAGAATAGCAAAAGAAATTTTAGGCAACAGAGATAGGGCTGGGTGTATTATAATCCCCAACTTGAAACTATACTACAAAGCTACTGTGATAAAAACAGCATGGTACTGGCAAAGAAACAGACCTGAGGATCAGTGGAATAGATTAGAAGATACAGAAACGACTACAGATATGCTCAGCCACCTCATCTTTGACAAAGGAGCCAACCATCCTCATTGGAGGAAAGATAGCCTAGATAATAAATGGTGTTGGAAAAACTGGATTTCAACCTGCCAAAGATTAAAACTAGACCCATACCTATCACCATGCACTAAATTAAGATCAAAGTGGATTAAAGATTTAAATATTAAGACAGAAGCACTAAATTTGCTGGAAGACAAGTTAGGTAGAACTCTTGAAGACATTGGTATAGGTAAAGACTTTTTTTATAGTAAATATTTAATTGGTTCCATCAGCAACTCCATGTTTTCCTGGTAGGGAGGCAAAATCAAGCTACCGAGGGGTTGGGACCGGGGTTCACTGAGGAGGTCCCCAGAGTCACTGATCCTGTCCCACAGATCTCATGGCTCTGGAAAATGAGGGTTAGGATGACAGAATGTCAGGTGGAGAAGAAGAAGTGCAGGGTGATGGAAATACTGGCCTTGGCCTGTAGTGTTGCCTGTAGGAAGAAGGGAGCTGGCAGGAGAAAGGCCAGAACTACATATTCTAGTTTCAAACTCATTACGTAAGGGGAAATCAGCCTCTCTTCATTTGTCTAGTATCTAGACCACCCAAGGGGTCCTCTGTCACTTCTGTTCTATCTCCCAATTCGGTATTCCAAATTCTGCAGTTCAAACTCAAGTTCTGAATTCTATGTGCTAGCTTCTGCGTTTCTGTTCCATGTGTCTCCTGCTCCCAAATTCTCCCTATCCCAATCCTTTTCTTTAGCTTCACTGGGTAGAATTCTGGATCTCTTGACAGCTGAGGGTTCATGGCAGTTCCAAGCTTTTTCTGAGCAAGAGGAACCTGGCTCAGACTTGCTTGTCCACCAAGTGGGTGATCCAGTGGAGACCAGGGAATTCTTGAGGGCCATGCCTGGTCTGACTTCCTCCTTTCCCACCCCACCTCTAACCACTGGTTATCCTACCTTCTGTGCAACTAAGCTAAACCAAGGATTTCCATGAAGATATCTGGGGACAGGAGGCCTTGAGATGAGTAATCTTAGGGGCGAAATGTGACAAGACCTAAAAGTTTGCTATTCTTCATTCAGAGAACTTAGAAACTACTTCCAGCAGAGGGAACGAGGTGGACAGGGAAGGCAGGGAGTTCTGGACAGAACTATAACCCCTCAGAACCTTGTCATCTTTGAGCTGAACTCTCTCTACCTGTCGGAGTCCTCTCAGAGCCCAGAGAAAACCAAGACAGCAGGACCAGAAGTTCCTCTGCCCCAGGCTGCCCTGAGAGAGAAGGGGAAAGAGGTGGAGGTAACAGCAGCATCTCTGAAGAGGCGAAATCTTCAAGGGGATCATGATCCTGAGTCTCCATGTGTCGCACCAAGGGGACTGTATAGTAGACATTTTCATCCCAGCCCCTCTTCCTCCAGCCAGCATTTCGAGCCTCCTCCCGAGACTGCAGGTCTCTGTAGGCCCAGAGATGATGTACAACGTAGAGCTCTCCTATCTGCGAGAAGAAGCCACCCACAGCTTCCTGGTTCTCCTGCCGGTACTTGATGGCCCGAGCCCAGTTGTTGCCCCCCTCGATCATGGTTCCTGGCTTGAGTTTGTATGTCCTCAGCTCATAGATGCTGGGATCTGCTCTAGGCTGTGGCTCATTCCAGAAGCTGAATTCCAGGAGCAACTGGTTTCTCCTGGACAGCAGCATACAGCTCCGCTCCTTTTGGAATTCCAGGTACTCCTTGTTGATTTTGAGCTTGTTCATGCAGTCCATGAGGGCTGGGTAGCCGCCTGAGAAGCGCCACAGATGCACTGCCTGGTCCTGCCCCATACCACGTGTTCCAGTTGCCCATGAGCGAGCAGGGATAATCCTCATCCAGGTGGAGCTTTGGCAACACAGCTTCCGTCACACTGTTGTAGGCATCCAGACACTCGGGCTTCACATTGTGAAACTGGATCTTATAGAGGCTGCCGGTCTTCTTCTTGGACAGCAGGGTAGAATGGGCATCCTTCCGGGGGTCTACGTTGTGGACAAACAGGGAGCAAAACCAGTTGCCTTCATTGTCCTTGGAATAGGAACGGGCAGCAGCCGCAGCCGCAGCCACGGCGACCCCCACGCTGGGTCCCGGGCTGCCCAGCAGCAGCTGCGTCGCCTCGGAGATGCTGCAAAGCCGCGGGGCCATGTTGGAGCGGCGCAGGTTGGAGGATATAGGAAAAGACTTTATGAACAAAACCTCAGTGGCACGGGAGCTAGCACAAAGAATCAGCAACTGGGATCTCATCTTATTAAAAAGCTTCTGCACTGCAAGAGAAACCACCAACAGAGCTAAGAGACGACCTACAATATGGGAAAAAATTTTCAGCAGCTGTACCTCAGACAAAGGACTACTATCTAGAATATATAAAGAATTGAAAAAAATCAGACCCCCCCAAATTCAAAGACCCAATTCAAAAATGGGCATCTGAAATGAACAGACATTTCTCAGACAAAGAAGTAAAAGCAGCAAATAAATATATGAAAAAATGTTCAACATCACTGGTCATTCGAGAGATGCAGATGAAAACAACACTGAGATTCCACCTCACCCCAGAAAGAATGGCTGCTATCAAGAAATCAGCCAATAACAAATGCTGGCGGGGGTGTGGGGAGAAAGGAACCCTTCTCCATTGTTGGTGGGAGTGTAGACTGGTGCAACCACTGTGGAAATAGGTATGGAGCTACCTCAAAGATTTAGGCTTAGAGGTCCCATTCCACCCAGCTATCCCCCTGCTGGGTATCTTCCCAAAAGAATTAAAAGAATCATACCACAGTGATATATGTGCACCCATGTTTATAGCAGCACAGTTCGTAATAGCAAAAGCTTGGAAACAGCCCAAGTGCCCATTAACTGGAAACTGGATAAAGAAGACGTGTTTTTTTTATAAAATGGACTACTACTCAGCCATAAAGAATGAGAAACTAGAGACATTTATAGCTAAATGGATGCATATTGAGGCCATACTCTTAAGTGAAATAAATAGGACACACATGTGTAGATACTGAATAGTTTCTCTAGTGTGAGAAACTGATAGTGTAATTAAGGATACACACGGGTGAAATTGCCTAATAACATATTTCTTGGATTGTGTTTCCATCGCATGTCATATGACTGTATCAAAATTTAAATTAGGGAGAAGCTTGGCTTATGTGGAGTCTGCTAGCTAACTGGAGTTTTTTTCCAGACCACTGTTTGTTCAGTGTTGGTGTTGGGGATCTTTCTGAAACAAATCACATCCTCTGGTGTCTTGTTGGTGCTTGAGAAGCTTTTTTAAGTTATATGGAAAAATGTTTAAGTGCTTTTCAGTTTTGTTTTGGTTGAGTTCTACTGTATTTGAATATTATTGCAGGTTTTTTCCCTTGCGTTGTTCTTCTTTGAATCGTTTTAATTTTTGTATGTGTGTGTTTGATAATAAAGTTATTTTAAAAATTAAAAAAAAAATCTCACTTATAGAGTGCTTGCCTAGTATGCAGAAGGTTGTGGGTTTGATCCCCAGTACTGAAAAACAAAAACAG